CTTCTGGGTGAACAAAGGGATCATCTTGGCTTTCTTGTTATTTCTGTTACCCTTGGGTACAAACCTCTCCTCAGCTCCTTGCATATTGTTGTCACATATTCCATCATCTCACGTACTGACTTCCCTGCCAGTTCTCTGTCCACTGAACCCCGTGCAAGAAATTCTTCATGCCTGTGTAGCCCCTTCTCTTGTAGTTTGGCTTCATTCATTCTGACCTTCCTGCTTCCTTCCCCACTTGTAACTATGTATTCGAAGCTCAGAACCACGTTATCACTGGCCCTGAGGTGTCTTTCATATGTGATGTCCTCAATATCTGCGCTACTCAAGGTGAATACTAGGTCCAGTCTTACTGGTTCATCCTCTCCTCTCTCTCTAGTAGTGTACCTTATGTGTTGCTACATGAGGTTTTCCAGTACCACCTCCATCATCTTAGCCCTCCTCGTTTCTGGGCCCCCATGTGGCTCCAGGTTCTCCCAGTTAATTTCCTTGTGATTGAAGTCACACACAACCAGCAGCTTTGTCCTGCTCGCATGAGCCCTTCTGGCCACTTCAGCCAGTGTGTCAACCATGGCTCTGTTATTCTCATCATACTCTTGCCTTGGCCTCCTGCTGTTCTGTGGTGGGTTATACATCATTGCAATTATCACTTTGGGACCTCCAGTCTGAAGTGTTCCTATTATGTAGTCTCTTGCTTCTCCTCTGTCTCTTTTCTCCAGTTCATCAAAATCCCATTGGTTTTTGATGAGCAATGCCACTCCCCCACTCCCTCTGTAGCTTCTGTCTCCTCAGGATCTGATATCCCATTGGATAGACGGCATCTGTTATCATTCTTGTGAGCTTGGTTTCTGTGATAGCTATGATGTCTGGTGATGCCTCTTTGATTCTTTCGTGCCACTCCTCTCACTTATTCGTTATTCCATCAGCGTTTTTGTACTATACCTTCGATTTCCTCTCCAACACTGTGTTCTGGGGAGTCTGTTGGGTTGGGGGCCCTGGCAGTGTGCTGTGGGATTCTACAGCATAGTGTGTGGTGGGGGATGTAAGTTTGGATTGTGGGTTGTGTTGGGATAGCGTGTTTGGTTGTGGAGTTCTGAAGGTGGTTGTGTGTGTGCTTGCTCTTGTTGCTCTGCCCTACTCTGGTTGCCTTCTGCTGACTCTGTCCTTGTCTCTCTTCGTAGCCCCTTTCGTTGCTGTGTCCTCTCCCTCAGCTGCTGTCATTCTGTTCTTCTGTCATTGTCTAGGAACAACCTCTTGTATGTTGATGATTCCTTCAACAGTGGTTTCTCTTGCAGGATCCTGTTCCACACTTTTTCTGTTTGACCGTGTGTGTGTGTGTGTGTGTGTGTGTGTGTGTGTACTCACCTAATTGTACTCACCTAATTGTTGTTGCAGGGGTCAAGACTCAGCTCCTGGCCCCGCCTCTTCACTGAACGCTACTAGGTTCTCTCTCTCCCTGCTCCATGAGCTTTATCATACCTCAATGACTGAAGAAATACTTCCTAACATCCCTTTGACTCATCTGAGTCTTCAACTTCTAAGTGTGACCCCTAGTTTCTGTGTCCCCTCTCGGGAACATCCTTTCTCTGTCCACCGTGTGTGTGTGTGTGTGTGTGTGTGTGTGTGTTGTTGTGTGTGTGTGTGTGTGTGTGTGTGTGTGTGTGTGTGTGTGTGTGTGCGCGCGCACTGAACATCAACCAGTAACTAACATAGCTATGAACCCATTATTTAGCAGAGTAACTGAAGAGTGAAACAGAAAAGGTAAACTGCCGCATCCTGACGACTTCAACATCCTCCACTTGGCGCTTGTTAACTGCACTCATACCCGCCACAAACACCTGACATCCTCGATACACAGAATCTACCACGTATGTCTTAGAAGATAAAGGGTCTTCTGAGGAGCAAGCAGTGCTAGTGTTTCCTGTATCTAACCGAATATAAATCCACATTCAGTTTTTATAAATGAATCAATATCCTTTGGTGTTTATGAGTCAAAATCTGTAGTTATTCATTTAGATTTTGCTCATAATATGAAACTTATAGATTTGCTTACCGGAGAGAACTGTGCGCCTCGAGAACTTGTCAGAGACACAGGAATGAGGGTCACAGAGCGGATGCTGCACATTGGTAAGTAGGAGATGAACTGTTTGTATTGGAGGGAGGAAAGGGAAGAGTGGAGTGAGGAAGGATTGTGAGTGATGATTGGAAGATGGGGCTGTAAGGAACTTATATGAGGGTTACGGAGAGGAGTGAGGTAGCAGGCCAGGATGTAGGATGTACAGCAAATCACCATAGCACAGTTGATCACCACAACACCTTGCACCACCTCAGGACCTACGATCGCAGCACCTAGGATCAACACACCACCTTGGATATATCACGAAAGAGCAGAAAAGCGAGAGCCTGGCATTATCTACCATCCCAGCATACATACATTTTAGGTACATTTTTTTTTAATCATCGATTGTGAAAGTGATCTTCTACAGAGGAATTTAATTAGCATACTTTCTCACAGGAGACTCCTGTGTTTCACTTCTCTTATTAAAATTAGAAACATTTACATCCCAACAAACATAGAATTCTTTGAATTGGGAACAAAATACACCAACCAGGAATTTCGTTTAAAGGGACATATATATATATATTAATATATATATATATATATATATATATATATATATTTATATATTTATATATATATATATATATTATATATATATATATATAATAATATATATATATATATATATTATTATTTTTATTAACACATAAGCAGTTTCCCACCAAGGCAGGGTGGCCCGAAAAAGAAAAACTTTCCCCATCATTCACTCCATCACTGTCTTGCCAGAGGCGCCCTTACACTACAGTTATAAAACTGCAACACAAACACATCTTTCAGAGTGCAGACACTGTACTTCCCATCTCCAGGATTCAGGTCCAGCACTGCCGGTTTCCCTGAATCCCTTCATAAATATTACCCCGTTCACACTCTAACGGCACGTCAAGTCCTAAATCATATGTCTCCATTCGCTCCTATCTAACACGCTCAATCATGCTTGCTGGAAGTCCAAGCGCTTCGCACACAAAACCTCCTTTACCCCCTCCCTCCAACCTTTCCTAGGCCGGCCTCTACCCCGCCTTCCTTCCACTATAAATTTATACATTCTCGAAGTCATTCTAGTTTGTTCCATTCTCTCTGCATATCCGGACCACCTCAATTTATATATATATATATATATATATATATATATATATATATATATATATATATATATATATATATATATATATATATATATATATATATATTTAACCCTCGGGATGGGATACACAAGGTAAAATAGGAACTGTATATTTTGGCTTCAGACTTTGAAATACAACTTGAAGACTTTCACTTGTTTTTCCCAATTTTAGTTGGTCCATCAAGACATAACTACACGACCAACCTAACTACACGTCATACTCTACCGCATCAAATCATCTGCTAGTATGACAATTGTAATATTTTCCACCGCCCAGTCCCCTGTTTATGGAAGAAACATTGGAAATAATGTGACGCTATAAAAGCAGAAAACGTCAGTGGGAAACGTTAATCATCGTTATTGAGTTCTTGAGTAAAGAACAACAGAGAAATTATCCAGTGACGGCCAATTTAAGAGTCCTGGACGAGTTTTCAAAATATAATGAATGCGTCCAGCCGCGGACACTGTCATCATACAATCTCGCGCTGGAGTTACGAGCGAAACAATTTTCAGCATGATACAGCAGGCGGTCACCCTGACGGAACCTAGACTTATGTAGTGCTCAGGAAGAGAGCTACATAAAAAAAGGGATGGGAGGTATCGATTTCGGGGGTCACCGCCCCTGCGGTCCGGTCCCAGACCAGGTATAAGTATCATTACTGCAGTCATGCGGAGCTAAACCGGCTGGAGGTCTCATAGAGCCTTGGGGGAATGGCAGGTAATCAGGTTTGATATATAAAAGTCGAAAGATAGCTTCATTTTCATGGATAACAAATCTTTAATTCGCATCGAGGATGGATGAGGGGCGATGAGAAATACAAAAAAAAAAAAGAACGAGGAAGAAAAGTCAATAATAGTTGACAAAGCTATATTGATGCAGGAACGGCTAGTTCGTACATCAATACAGCCTTCCTGTAGAAGACAGCGCAGAAACATATAGATGCACAACTTGCCTAGGAACTATTAGCTAAAACCATTAACAGGAACACATTTACGTATTCACACATTTACTGCTGCATCGATTTCAAGCAAACTTTGAAAACTAGCTCAAAATTACTGGTTTCTTATCATGGTTAACGTGACACCTTGACGTCTAATTTAGACTGATGTAGTAATTTATGTCAATATTCGAGGGGAGGAGATAACGGTGGGTTTCCAGACCCTCAGAGAATTAGCCTCGTGTGTGCATACGAGAACTTCAGCCTCTCTTTCTAATGAGTTTTTAATGGAGTATTGGAAGATTATCTTGACTCGTCCAGTGTGGAATGTTTGTTTGCGTCGCACTCTTACTAAAGAAAGATGAAGACATTAAGTCATTGTTGTGACCGGTCCATTAGTTGCCATTATCAAGTTTCATAAGTCCTGTCCCAGGAGACATATTCCCTTTTTCCTAGGAATTTGCTTTAACCTTCAGACCATTCGTACTGGTGGAAGACTTTGTCATACGTCCTGTCCTTACCAGACACAGGTGAGATTACACACTGCCGTAACATATGCATAAATTTGGCTTCAGCTAAGCCCAATAAGACTCATTTTTTTATTTAACACCAAAATACCGTCAAATATCCCTGATTATGATAAATATCACCATTCCTAACGCCATCTTGTAACTCGTCGATCATTATCAAGTAGTTGGTAATAGTTATAGAAGGATCGAAACGTCGTCTAAAGTTACCCAGCAAGTTGCATTTGCTGCAGCTCAAGACAGTAACAGAAAAACATGTACAGTAATTAACCAAGATTAAAACAGCTGTCACTTACCTTAGCCTCCAGGGTTTGAAGTTTGTTAACTCTAGGCCGCATCCCACCGCTGCCAGGACCTGCTGAGGGCAGCAGTGTCGACTGGTGACCCACCGGCAGGAGAGAAGAAGATATTTGTAACTTAGACTACGTTTTTATTGTGGTTTACGTATATAACACAGTACTGCTACACCCTGTCTTCATTCAGCACTACTACACTGTCTTCACTCAGCACTACTACACTGTCTTCACTCAACACTACTACACTGTCTTCACTCAGCACTACTACACTGTCTTCACTCACACTACACACTGTCTTCACTCAGCACTATACACTGTCTTCATTCAGCACATACTACACTGTCTTCATTCAGCACTACTACACTGTCTTCATTCAGCACTACTACACTGTCTTCATTCAGCACTACTACACTGTCTTCATTCAGCACTACTACACTGTCTTCACTCAACACTACTACACTGTCTTCATTCAGCACTACTACACTGTCTTCACTCAGCACTACTACACTGTCTTCATTCAGCACTACTACACTGTCTTCACTCAGCACTGCTACACTGTCTTCATTCAGCACTACTACACTGTCTTCATTCAGCACTACTACACTGTCTTCACTCAGCACTACTACACTGTCTTCATTCAGCACTACTACACTGTCTTCATTCAGCACTACTACACTGTCTTCACTCAGCACTACTACACTGTCTTCACTCAGCACTACTACACTGTCTTCACTCAGCACTACTACACTGTCTTCACTCAGCACACTACACTGTCTTCATTCAGCACTACTACACTGTCTTCACTCAGCACTACTACACTGTCTTCACTCAGCACTACTACACTGTCTTCACTCAGCACTACTACACTGTCTTCATTCAGCACTACTACACTTCTTCATTCAGCACTGCTACACTGTCTTCACTCACACTATTTACACTGTCTTCATTCACCCACTACTACACTGTCTTCATTCAGCACTGCTACACTGTCTTCACTCAGCACTACTACACTGTCTTCATTCAGCACTACTACACTGTCTTCACTCAGCACTACTACACTGTCTTCACTCAGCACTACTACACTGTCTTCATTCAGCACTATACACTGTCTTCATTCAGCACTACACTCAGCACTACTACACTGTCCACACTCAGCACTACTACACCGTCCACACTCAGCACTACTACACTGTCTTCACTCAGCACTACTACACTGTCCACACTCAGCACTACTACACTGTCTTCACTCAGCACTACTACACCGTCCACACTCAGCACTACTACACTGTCTTCACTCAGCACTACTCCCACTGTCCACACTCAGCACTACTACACTGTCCACACTCAGCACTACTACACTGTCTTCACTCAGCACTACTACACTGTCCACACTCAGCACTACTACACTGTCCACACTCAGCACTACTACACTGTCCACACTCAGCACTACTACACTGTCTTCACTCAGCACTACTACACTGTCCACACTCAGCACTACTACACTGTCTTCACTCAGCACTACTACACTGTCCACACTCAGCACTACTACACTGTCCACACTCAGCACTACTACACTGTCTTCACTCAGCACTACTACACTGTCCACACTCAGCACTACTACCTGTCTTCACTCAGCACTACTACACTGTCCACACTCAGCACTACTACACTGTCCACACTCAGCACTACTACACTGTCTTCACTCAGCACTACTACACTGTCCACACTCAGCACTACTACACTGTCTTCACTCAGCACTACTACACTGTCTACACTCAGCACTACTTACACTGTCCACACTCAGCACTACTACACTGTCTTCACTCAGCACTACTACACTGTCCACACTCAGCACTACTACACTGTCCACACTCAGCACTACTACACTGTCTTCACTCAGCACTACTACACTGTCCACACTCAGCACTACTACACTGTCTTCACTCAGCACTACTACACTGTCCACACTCAGCACTACTACACTGTCCACACTCAGCACTACTACACTGTCTTCACTCAGCACTACTACACTGTCCACACTCAGCACTACTACACTGTCCACACTCAGTACTACTACACTGTCCACACTCAGCACTACTACACTGTCCACACTCAGCACTACTTGTTACATTCACAAATATGGTTAAAATAAAACATCTTAATGTATGGCTGAAAAAAAAACCAGACATGTGTTAACGTGGCTGCATAAAAACATGAAAGGTTTTAATTGATAACAATATCTGAAGTTCCCAAATGCTTAAGTTCCAAGTTTTGATTCAGGAATTGTTTACAATAAATGGAAAATATAGAAAGTGTCTTTAAAAAAAGGAAACTGACTTCCACAGTAAAACTGGCTGGCAGACAATGTCTGACAGTGGCTGGCAGACAATGTCTGACAGTGGCTGGCAGACAATGTCTGACAGTGGCTGGCAGACAATATCTGAGAGTGGCTGGCAGACAATGTCTGACAGTGGCTGGCAGACAATGTCTGACAGTGGCTGGCAGACAATGTCTGACAGTGGCTGGCAGACAATGGCTGACAGTGGCTGGCAGACAATGTCTGACAGTGGCTGGCAGACAATGTCTGACAGTGGCTGGCAGACAATGTCCGACAGTGGCTGGCAGACAATGTCTGACAGTGGCTGGCAGACAATGGCTGACAGTGGCTGGCAGACAATGTCTGACAGTGGCTGGCAGACAATGTCTGACAGTGGCTGGCAGACAATGTCTGACAGTGGCTGGCAGACAATGTCTGACAGTGGCTGGCAGACAATGTCTGACAGTGGCTGGCAGACAATGTCTGACAGTGGCTGGCAGACAATGTCTGACAGTGGCTGGGAGACAATGTCTGACAGTGGCTTGCAGACAATGTCTGACAGTGGCTGGCAGACAATGTCTGACAGTGGCTGGCAGACAATGTCTGACAGTGGGCTGGCAGACAATGTCTGACAGTGGCTGGCAGACAATGTCTGACAGTGGCTGGCAGACAATGGCTGACAGTGGCTGCAGACAATGTCTGACAGTGGCTGGCAGACAATGTCTGACAGTGGCTGGCAGACAATGTCTGACAGTGGCTGGCAGACAATGTCTGACAGTGGCTGGCAGACAATGTCTGACAGTGGCTGGCAGACAATGTCTGGGCAGTGGCTGGCAGACAATGTCTGACAGTGGCTGGCAGACAATGTCTGACAGTGGCTGGCAGACAATGTCTGACAGTGGCTGGCAGACAAGTCTGACAGTGGCTGGCAGACAATGGCTGACAGTGGCTGGCAGACAATGTCTGACAGTGGCTGGCAGACAATGTCTGACAGTGGCTGGCAGACAATGTCTGACAGTGGCTGGCAGACAATGTCTGACAGTGGCTGGCAGACAATGTCTGACAGTGGCTGGCAGACAATGTCTGACAGTGGCTGGCAGACAATGGCTGACAGTGGCTGGCAGACAATGTCTGACAGTGGCTGGCAGACAATTCTGACAGTGGCTGGCAGACAATGTCTGACAGTGGCTGGCAGACAATGTCTGACAGTGGCTGGCAGACAATGTCTGACAGTGGCTGGCAGACAATGGCTGACAGTATTTGGGAGACAATGTCTGACAGTGGCTGGCAGACAATGTCTGACAGTGGCTGGCAGACAATGTCTGACAGTGGCTGGCAGACAATGGCTGACAGTGGCTGGCAGACAATGGCTGACAGTGGCTGGCAGACAATGTCTGACAGTGGCTGGCAGACAATGTCTGACAGTGGCTGGCAGACAATGGCTGACAGTGGCTGGCAGACAATGTCTGACAGTGGCTGGCAGACAATGTCTGACAGTGGCTGGCAGACAATGGCTGACAGTGGCTGGCAGACAATGTCTGACAGTGGCTGGCAGACAATGTCTGACAGTGGCTGGCAGACAATGTCTGACAGTGGCTGGCAGACAATGTCTGACAGTGGCTGGCAGACAATGTCTGACAGTGGCTGGCAGACAATGTCTGACAGTGGCTGGCAGACAATGTCTGACAGTGGCTGGCAGACAATGTCTGACAGTGGCTGGCAGACAATGTCTGACAGTGGCTGGCAGACAATGTCTGACAGTGGCTGGCAGACAATGTCTGACAGTGGCTGGCAGACAATGGCTGACAGTGGCTGGCAGACAATGTCTGACAGTGGCTGGCAGACAATATCTGATAGTGGCTGGCAGACAATATCTGAGAGTGGCTGGCAGACAATATCTGAGAGTGGCTGGCAGACAATATCTGAGAGTGGCTGGCAGACAATATCTGAGAGTGGCTGGCAGACAATATCTGACAGTGGCTGGCAGACAATATCTGACAGTGGCTGGCAGACAATATCTGACAGTGGCTGGCAGACAATGTCTGACAGTGGCTGGCAGACAATGTCTGACAGTGGCTGGCAGACAATGTCTGAAGTGGCTGGCAGACAATATCTGATAGTGGCTGGCAGACAATATCTGAGAGTGGCTGGCAACAATATCTGAGAGTGGCTGGCAGACAATATCTGAGAGTGGCTGGCAGACAATATCTGACATGGCTGGCAGACAATATCTGATGTGGCTGGCAGACAATATCTGAGAGTGGCTGGCAGACAATATCTGACAGTGGCTGGCAGACAATATCTGACAGTGGCTGGCAGACAATATCTGACAGTGGCTGGCAGACAATATCTGACAGTGGCTGGCAGACAATATCTGACAGTGGCAGGCAGACAATATCTGACAGTGGCTGGCAGACAATATTGACAGTGGCTGGCAGACAATGTCTGACAGTGGCTGGCAGACAATATCTGACAGTGGCTGGCAGACAATATCTGACAGTGGCTGGCAGACAATAACTGACAGTGGCTGGCAGACAATGGCTGACAGTGGCTGGCATTAACTCACCGGGATGTAGGTGTAGTAATGTCTTCGATGCCTCATCGTACCGTCTCGCAGCTTCATGGTCGGGCATGCATACACCCAGAGGTGTGTACGTATATCTCAGTGTATGTATACACAGAGTTTCTTTCAGTCCCTGTTGAAGAGCTTATAGCACTCGTGACTGCTAGTGTACAGGTGAAATGTAGCCTTAATGATCCTCGTGCAGCCGATAGGCTTTAAACCTCACAAACCAGCACAGGTGGTGGTGCGTGATGAGTGGTGAACCACTGTACTGACTCACCACACTTACCACTACAACACTGCAACTTGTATTAACGTCTTTGACCAGACGTTTACTGGTCTGGAGTCCTGACTTGTGTACAAACAATATTCTGTACTCTGCCTTGTAGAGGACGAATTATATAGAAATATTTTCTTAATAATTGTGTTCGTGGTTCGTGTCTCATTTAGATTTAGTTTCGTTTTGAGTATAATTATTGTGGGAAAAATTACGCTTTTTATGCTTCCTGTATCTCGTTAATTTCTTTAAATATTTGAGATTAATAAATGTTATTATTATAATAAGCTTGTTACGAAGAACTGTCATGTATAGGACGCGCTACGTCTGGCAGACAAGTGTTTACAAGTAGTATTGTTGTACACAAAGTTAACAATCACCAGTTAAATGGTCTGGTTGATGAAGATAAGATAAAATAAGATAAGATTTCGTTCGGATTTTTAACCCCGGAGGGTTAGCCACCCAGGATAACCCAAGAAAGTCAGTGCGTCATCGAGGACTGTCTAACTTATTTCCATTGGGGTCCTCAATCTTGTCCCCCAGGATGCCACCCACACCAGTCGACTAACACCCAGGTACCTATTTGCTGCTAGGTGAACATGACAACAGGTGTAAGAAAACGCGTTGAAATGTTTCCACCCGCCGGGAATCGAACCCGGGCCCTCCGTGTGTGAAGCGGGAGCTTTAGCCACCAGACGTTAGTCATGATGATAGATTGTCACGATGATAGTCACGATGATAGTCAGCGTTAGTCACAATATGAGGCGTCACGTGATATGCCGGTTATATCCCAAGATGTGGAATGAATATTGCACAAACAACCCGCACACAGGAGAGAGGAGCTGACCACGACGCTTCAGACTGACTTGGACTATTTATCAGTGTTGAGGCGATACCAATGATTTTTTCTCTTTACCAATACCGACATTCCATTTTATTTCAATACAGATACTGTAGCACACCCCAGTTATGTCACAGGTGTGTGACAAGTATGTCACGCGTGTGTAACGGGTATATCACAGACATGATACGTCAGGTTAAGGCAGCAAGTTTACCAGCTGACTTTTGACGGCCGTCAAGCACCAGCCTCATAACTCTCCCACACTGAAATTAGAAACCTGGATGGTAAGTCAGAATCACCATAATAACTGCAAAATTGCTTTTAAACGAGATTTATTGACCTGACAAGTGGGTAAAGTGAGCTCCTCTCAGAGGTAACCTTAACATTAACTGGTAAAAGGAGACTCTTAATAGACGAAATTGGAGCTTCCCCCCCCCCTCCACTTCCATATGAAGTGAAAGCCGCGGCTGGCTGCGGTTACTAGCTACTAGTTGCAGTCTCTAGCTACTAGCCGCAGTCTCTACCTTCTAGCTGCAGTTTCTAGCTACTGACTGCGGTTATTAGCTACTGGCTGTGATCTCTAGCTACTAGCTGCGGTCTCTAGCTCCAAGCTCTAGTGTCTAGATACTGGTTGCGGTCTCTAGCTACTAGTTGCGGTCTCTAGCTACTAGTTGCGGTCTTTCCTGCAGTTCCTGCAGTTCCAGCGTGAAAGGCCTAGCGCAACCTCATTCTCCTCTATATAATAAGAGCAGGATAAAGTAAGGCTTCAAACCTCCAGTTTTTGAACGGAGGATCGTGGGAGCATTCGCAGTTCACACATAAAGTGTGGATTTTAATGGTGTAACTCGCGTTATTGTACAGCGGGAGTGTTCAATTACATGATGTGAGATCATTATGTGGTAGGTTGGTCAAGAGTGTAAGACTGTAATTAATTACTGAAGTAGATACTCCTGTCAGAACTTTTGTCTTGTGATTTCCAGGATGATTAAGTTTAGTACATTATATATATATATATATATATATATATATATATATATATATATATATATATATATATATATATATATATATATATATATATAATATATATACGATGAAATCATGTGACTACTGTGTTGTTGGGTTGGTGGTGTTTAGCCTGCTTAAGTATCATGCATGCTAATGTTTTTTTAAATTTTGTGGTTTCCAGTGTTGCGTTCTATAGTGTCGGTGACGGCGATTAGTGAGGCTTCTAGGCACCGTCGGCGTCTGAGGTCTGGTTCGGTGAGAACGAGTTGTGCCTCATCTCAGTTCATCAAATGCCCCGTGGAGTCTCTGTGGAGGGCACAGACGTACCTTAAATCGTCTCTGTTACAGGCACTTCGATGCTCATTCAGGCGGACCGCAAGAACTCTGTCTCGCCTACATATTTCTTGGGATAGAATCCACAGGGGATGGTGTAGACGCCTGTTGTAGAAGTTAGAGGTGTGAGTCTGCGTTTCGTAGTGAGGTCTTTTATAGATGATGTGTTTATGGTGGAAACGTTGATGTTACTCATAGCAAGTGCCCGGTGAGTATTCGTGACATCACCACATGGGAGCACTATGAACTGCTTAGAGGGCTGTTCCATGGGCGGTTTGTTGAGGATAGCTTGTGCCTTGAGCCTGCAATCTCGGATGAAGAAAGATGGAAACTGAAGACGTGTAAAGGTTTGTGTTATGTAAATACATCTTTCTTCATCCGAGATTGCAAACTCAAGGCACAACAAACCGCCCATTGAACAGCCCTCTAAGCAGTTCATAGTGCTCCCATGTGGTGATGTCACGAATACTCGCCGGGCACTTGCTATGAGTAACACCAACGTTTCCACCATAAACACATCATCTATAAAAGTCCTCACTACGAAACGCAGATTCACACCTCTAACTTCTACAGCAGGCGTCTACACCATCCCCTGTGGATTCTGTCCCAAGAAATATGTAGGCGAGACAGGCAGAGTTCCTGCGGTCCGCCTGAATGAGCATCGAAGTGCCTGTAACAGTGACGATTTAAGGTACGTCTGTGCCCTCCACAGAGACTCCACGGGGCATTTGATGAACTGAGATGAGGCACAACTCGTTCTCACCGAACCAGACCTCAGACGCCGACGGTGCCTAGAAGCCTCACTAATCGCCGTCACCGACACTATAGAACGCAACACTGGAAACCACAAAATTTAAAAAAAAAACATTAGCATACATGATACTTAAGCAGGCTAAACACCACCAACCCAACAACACAGTAGTCACATGATCTCATCGTCTACCCGTCCTCATCCCAACATGACATTCTTCAGGTCACCATGCGTCACTCACACCTCACTCTCCGCCTATATATATATATATATATAATATTATATATATATAATATATATATATATATATATACAGGAGGGCCCCGCTTTACGGCGTTCCGCTTTACGGCGTTCCGCTAATACGGACATTTCAAATTAATGACCAAAACTCACTATACGGCTCCCCCCACCTGACTTTCTAATACGGTCACCGTGCCCCACCCTGTTTGTTTACATTCTCCATGAGCTCAGTAAGCACTAAGTCTCTCCATTTTGTCTGGAAACTCCAAAATTTCAAATGTTTTTAAAAGTTATTTCATATTTTATATATACTCTGATAATTATACTTATGTATACCTGTACCTAAATAAACTTACATACATCGAGTCATTTAAATGTCGTATATTACGTTAATATACACATTTTCATTAATCCATCCATGATATTTTTTTTCAAAATTATATAATAAACACGATGCATAACATATAAATAAGATAAATACACCCCACAGTAGAATAAATAAACAAATGTGAGATGTGAGCAGACGACTTGCACAAGTGGTGATAATAACAATACTGAGTCTCATTAAATGTCGTATATTACGGTAATATACACATTTTCATTAATCCATCCATGATATTTTTTTCAAAATTATATAATAAACACGATGCATAACATATAAATAAGATAAATACACCCCACAGTAGAATAAATAAACAAATGTGAGATGTCGTAGCAGACGACTTGCACAAGTGGTGATAATAACAATACCGAGTCTCATTAAATGTCGTATATTACGGTAATATACACATTTTCATTAATCCATCCATGATATTTTTTTCAAAATTATATAATAAACACGATACATAACATAAAAGATGATAAATACACCCCACAATAGAATAAATAAACATAAATATAAGATGTGGGAGCCACATAACTTGTACAAGTGATGCCAGAATAACATTTTCTCTAATCTAAACATAAGAGTAAATGTGTTACTGGGGGTAACTGTAGAAAATTATTCCTTTCGTATGTATGTAAGTAAGTTTTATTCAGGTATACACAAATACAGTTACATAGATTATCATACATAACAACATACGTGTAGAGAACCTAGGATAACCCAAAAAAGTCAGTGTGACTTATTTCCATTGCCTTCACTCAGAGCTTCATTTCTTCTCAAAATGATGTTACATGAGAATGGAGTGTTCTTCTTCTTTATTAATTCTACCGTATCAATGTAGAGACAACCTGTACACAATGTAACTTGTACACAAACCAGACGTGTACACTTCGTTTGTTTACAAAACTTACCTTCGCCTGGTTTGTTTACATAACTGCGCCTGCCCCCTCTCATGTATTCATTCTTTCTCTCTCTCATTTATTCGTTTTATCTCATTTACTTACTCCTGACCCTACATTAAGACTACAAATATTTTAAGGTAAGTAATGAGTGAACTGTAATATACATTTTATCGCTCTGGGATGCTTAAATATCATAGAATAGTATGTGTGGGTGGGGTGGCCTGGTGAGGCTATTACAATACATACCACACTTGATTTCTTACAATAAATACTACTTGTCTCACCCTAGATTAAGACTATAAATATTTAAGGTAAGTAAATGAGTGCACTATGTGTGTATTGTACCTTTTTATTGTTTTTTGATGCCTGTTCTATTGCTAACTTAATATATGTTAGTGTAAACTTGTTATCTAGTGTTTGTATGCATTTATAAGTGGAAAAAAAGGGTGTTCCACTTTACGGCGATTTCCGCTTTAACGGCGGTAGCCTGGAACCTAACCCGCCGTATAAGTGGGCCCTACTGTATATATATAAAATATATATATAATATATATATATATATATATATATATATAATATATATATAAAATGTCTTCTACCTCTGTATGTTAGAAGTGATCAAGGTCCCAGGACCGAAACGTTTTGT